TTTCTCACTTTTTAGACTGGCTGTGATAAGCATTCTGGTGCTTTTCACTCACGATAGTTTTGGTTAATAGGTATCCTACTGAGCTATCGTCCCCGTCATGAAGATAGGGATTATGAAATCTACGGTAATAAGTAAATATTCATTTGTTTTAAGTTGCTCGGTTTTATATTGTTTACGTTTGGTCGTTATCGTGAAATTCTGAACATCGCGACATTAATTTTGACCTTGTTAAGCAGGAGGTATTGTAAACAATTTAACATTCCGATCATCTTTCCAAAATGATCTTGATGATTACAAAATAATCTGACTTGAAGTTATTCTTTTGCTACTTGTATGTAATTTCTCTAATGAATATCGGAGACATGGAAACAAAGAAATTTATAATTGCCGACCAGTTGTTTTTCTGGTAAGTAGGGTGTGGATTGCTGAACTATGGATTATGCAGATTATGAAATTTTTAAATTATTCAAATATTCAAATTTCCAATATATAATAAAATAAGGCGTCTGAAATCCTAATTAGCTGTACCTAGCATTTACTGGACTAGAAGACAGGTCTGGTGCCACGCACGTTTGTTCTTAAACGGTGCTTTATTTTTCGGCCGAACGTTATCGTCGAACCCTATTAACATGATGATAATCGTGTATTTTGATTGAGGAGCAATATCGAATGTGGTGTGGACGTGCCTATTGCATCCTCTGCTCAGGCCCCTCATCTGCTCTGCGCTGCCTGTATATAAACTGATCTTTACTTACATTACCGGAGGTATTCGAACTGTTAAGTCTTACATTGGTCACGGTTAGGATGCAAGAATGATATGCAGGTTATTATTCATTATACCACTGCCATTGTTAGTATAAAGTTAAAAACAAGCTTTTCTTAATTCCATTTTTAATCATTTTGGCATCAAATTTTTAATGCAATTTCGGCCAAATGAATGTCATAGTCAGAGGTATGCCCTCTTGTCGTGCGCATTAGGCCACTCAACTTCCGTAATGCTATTTCTTGAGGAGCTGGAATGTCGAAGCGCGGGAAAAGCTAGAGCATGTCTAGTTGTTGTGCGTGCTTGTTTTGTCATCGTCGTTTTAAGCTAACATTTCATCCACTCAAGTAGCACTGATTTCTGATGTCTGATTGCTTAAAATCGCAACACGTATTGATGTTATGCAATGTTCACTGCTGCGGCAAAGGTCATATTCCTCGTCTGCCTCAGGGAGCTACTTCCAGCATTTATGTTTTCCTCCAGCACGTCTACAACCAGTAGACGGTTGCGAAATGAAAAAGATTTTGCACAGTATTTCCATTCTCTTTGTTGGTTGCCTTATCAAACCAAGCAAGGCCCTGATTTATGAAGGTAGTTCTTGAGGTAGATTTCTCAGACCATAAGTCCAGTTCATGTCCGTTCGTAGCTTCGCTTTATCGGATTTTATGAATGCCTTGTAAGGAATATTAGAGGTTATCAAGACGAGCTTCATGACGTTTAAGGACGGCTGATATTTCCAGGCCGCACGTTGGCACCGCGAATATGGCTGCTTCCGGAATGTCAATCTTCGCACCAGTTATTATAGTCTGATTTTTCCATATTTCATGCGTCCTGCAGAAATTTCCAGCTGCAGTCCAATGTACCGGTTCAATATACGAACCACGTCTCCATCGATGGCCAGCACTGTTACGAAGTACTTGAATTGATCTACTTCTGTCCTAACCATTCTAAATAATCCTTGGTCTGTCGGTTACGATAGGTATTCTCATAATCTTCGTATTCTTGGCATTAACTTTTATCCTCACTCGTTTGTTTTGCACGTGTTTTCAGTGCCTATGCGTCGCCTCCAGAATCGTTCAACAGTACGATATCATCCGCACACTCGTGGTCCGTTAAAAGTTCTCCCGGGGTCATCGAGTTGCGTCGCTGACCGAATGTCAGTCCATCATTGACATTTGGGATGACACTTTTCCGCATTACGTATTCGCCATGTTGCTGCATAGCAAAAGAGCATCTCGCCTTGCCGAACTACGCTAGTTAATTTGAACCATTCTGATAATGATGCTTCGATTCATGGTGCAGACCTTGTATCAGATTTACCATCTGTGGTATTCCATCGTAGAATATCGCTTAGTATAGTTAAATGATATGTTCACTCGAAGGCTGCTCAGAAGTCCAAGAACATCGCATGTCAGGACAATTAAATGCTCATGCAATGTTCGACTATTTTTATAGCACGAATAAGTTCATTCATGAGTGTCCGCTCCCGAAATCTGTCTGATTTGGGCGCAACAAACGATCGATGGCCTTCTCCAGTCGTCTAAAGAAAATCCACTCGAACTTCTGTAACACAGGCATTGAAGTTAATCCTCGACGATAATTGGTTGAATATGCGCGACCATCAGATTTGAAATTCGGGATCGTAACGCCTTTTTTCAATCGTCTGGGATCAATGGTTACGGTCCAATGTTGCGGAAAACCAGATGGATTCATGTAAGAAGGATTTCGCCTCCGAATTTCGGGATCTCTGCACTCATTCCTTTGTGACGGTTGCGCTTTGGCAGAGTCGTGTCACTCCGGCTTTTTTCAATCGATAGTACGAAGCAATCAATCCAGATGATGCCAATTGTTTTCAACGACTTCGTAATCTGCTATTGGTCCAGGCCTGTTCAAGTTGTCGAAGAAGTGCTCTGTCCGTCGTTTCCGACGGTGTTCAGCGTCATTCAACGGCTCTTTTGACTTGTTGTCTAACAGACCTGTGAAAAACGCTTGCTTGCCACCATTAATGATGGTATTCCCCTGGCTGTGCAGCCTTTCCCGGTCCCAATTTTCAGCTCTTGCGTGTCGTGATCGAGCCATCGTCAGTTGTCCCTACGATGGAACCAATTGACCGGTTTCAAAAATAGGCGATTCTTCATTGTTTTTGTCGCGTCGGATTCATTTAATGATTTGCCGTGTTTCTTACCTGGTGAATATTAAGGGTTTTTATCCTGACCCAAGGTTGCTTGCTAATTTTGCTGAAGCTTATGGCTTTGGCTGCACTGGCGGACATACGTTCTTTCAGGTGAGTTTAGAGCAACTTCGGCATCTTGGTCGAAGTTTACATTTGAGGTAGCAAATTTGCTGTTGATCTCCATTTGGAACGCCTCGATTAGTTCCATCAGTTTGTTTGTGTCAAAGCAGACTACCATTTTTCAGGATATTTATCTAGCCGTATATTAGTTAAAACAGAGTTACCAAACAACTGGGAAATGATCAGATCTAATGTCTGAACCTTGTTTCGTCCGAGTGTCGTGCAGTGAACATCAGCCACTTAAAACGGAAGAATGGATTGAGGTGCAGATTGCAGTACTTGTACAATGTTTTGACGTTGAGCCATTGCAGAAACCAAATAGAGTAACAGACTTGAATTAAATGTGACAACGATGCTGTGCGCATAAAAACAGGTTAATTACAATATGCCCAACGAAAAGAATACGTTCCATTCAGCTAGGAGCATTCCTATATCAATTCTTATTCTCTGTAAAAACTTGAGTAAGAACGCCGTAAGCAACTGACAAGACAAATATTCTCTATTGCTGACTCCATATTTCCAAACTCCACCAGGTGATTGTTTCCAGAAAAATTTTAAGCAGCTACACACGTCAAGGCGAAATGCATAGATGTGGAAATAATGAATTTAAGAAACGTCCTAACAACAGAAAACAATATCAATTAGTGAATTTTTGAGGCGATGACAATGATCAAAAGTTTAACATATAATTATACCAAACATCCAAAAATGATTTCGAATTCGAAGAACCATTAGAACCATTCCTTGCAGCACCGAAATATTAAAATATGAATAATACAGTATGTTATCACACTGACCTAGTGCGAGTCACAAAAATTTCACCAACAACCGATTTTCGTAGGCGATGTTTTTTAATTTTAATTTTTCGATATTGTAACTGAACGTATTTGGCTGAAATAATCTATCCCAGTTATTCTAATAAAATAAACTTAGCTCTATAAACTCTGTATACACTTCAGTTATCGGTTTATTATTCTTCGAACAAATATGTTACTTGCGGATCCGAAAAAACCGTAAAATATAATTTAGCGGCAGGCTCTTTTCTTTTCGGCGGGGTAATCGAGAAGCTTTGAAAATGGCACAGTCGTTGTCGCGTAAAAGACCGCCAACGAGTGACCAGAGGAACGGCATCTGCAAAAGATTCGCTGATTCTTTTTCGCTGGACAAAAATTTTCGTCAAATAATTTGCGGTATTTTTGTACAAATAAGGAATAGC